ATTTTTGAAAAAAATGTTTAAAAATATTTCAATTTTAAGACAATAATTTCATAATCAAGTGTATTTTGCACGAAATTACACGAAAACTATTCATTTTTTCGAAAAATTTAACATGACCTTATTTCAAGATCTATCTTTAAAGAAAAGATATAAAGAAAAAAACCCTTTTCCAATACTGTAGTTGTAGTAAGACGCTCAAAATGGCACTTTTTGGGTCTGCAACGAACACGAGATCTGCAACATTCTCTTCAGCATTCTGTATGATACCCAAATTCGAAATTTAATCAAAAAAATTAGCGCCGATTTTGAGAAAATTTTTAGGCTTCTTGTAAAATTCCCTCCAAAATCAAAATCTCAGGATGAAACTCCCAGTCTCGAGTTCGGTCAGATATATCGAAAGGCGGTAGCGTTGACCACACACTGCAAGACGTTTTGCGTCAATGGATTTTTCCGAACCATAGACACACAAAACATGGATTCTGGCTTTGCCACGTGTTGGACGAAGCAATTTACTATGTATAGAATCACGTTTCTTACCTACTTTTTAGTTCCTAGGGCCTGACAATATGAGTTTTTGTTGAAAATTCGCAATTTTCCGGTGTACAATTACTATACTTCCTCTTTTTGATGCAAGGGCGAGCAAGTAAAACTCACACATCGTTCAACATCAGATATAATTGGAACGAAATGTGTAATACAGAAAGAAAATAGCAAATAGTCAATTTACAATTAATTTAAAATAAAAATATCTGATATTGCCAAGACATGTAATCACCACTCAAATTCATGGACGCTTCGCCACTGTGACGTACCACATACGCATTTATAAGGCAATAAATTGGATGTCCTTTAGGTCCGGATCTTCAATTTATATCGTCTGTATAATGTGCTGCAAATATTATAATAGCTGAGATTTATTCATGTTTGTTTTGTAATAGTAAGAAATGACTACTGGTCCTGGCTATCGAGATAATTGCAGGCGATTCATTTGAATTTTTTCAAGTGATGTCTAAAGTGAGGGCAGAAATTGCAATATTATATTACGTAACCCTTCCCAATAATTCGACGAAGTATGTGCTATTGTGGCACTTCTAGTTTGGGAAGTTCCGTTATTTTCTAGCGACATTACCATATAAAGAGTTAACTCCATGCATTTATATTTGCTTTTTCAGCGACCTGAAGTCCTATTTGTTCCATTGGGAGAGCGTTTGCATCAAGGTTCTATAGCGGCTTTAGCAATGTGTTCTTGGAAAACCATTTTCATGACATGTGGCAAAGACGATCACACAGTTCGAGTATGGAACTACACTAATGATGTTTTGGAACTTTCAAAATGGTATCAAGAAGACATTTTATCAGCAGCTCTTCACCCTACTGGTAGTTAATTTTGTCACCTAATAAAATTCGCAACACTGTGTTTGGTAAACCGAATTGTTTATCATTTATACCAACTCTGATCAGGTCTCTTCGCACTTGTTGGTTTCTCTGATAAACTTCGTTATATGGAACTTCTAATCGACGACATTAAAACTATGGGAGAATTTCCACTACGAGGATGTAAATTATGCTCCTTCAGTAAAAATGGGCACTTGTTTGCCGCAGCAGATTATAATATGATCCACATACATTCATCAGTCACATACGAAGTCATGCATCATTTGAAAGGACACACAGCTGAGGTGAGTAATTATTACTTTCAGGCACAGGTATAAAAAATGTATTAAAAAATTGAAATTTTACTCACATTCCAGATTACTGGCTTTAGCTGGAATAGCAAGGACACAAAACTTGTTTCTTGTGGTTTAGATGGCGCTGTTTATGAATGGAACACACATGTGGGGAAAAGAATTGGAGAATTAGTTGACAAATCGTGTCAGCTGCATTCAATCAATGTGACAACAGATGGAAAAACTGAGTATGTTGTTGGAAATGACGGATGTATCAAAGAAATCACCGAGTCACAGGTATGGATGATGTACACACTGCATACTCTGTACTGCATACTTTTGTTACCCACGCCTGGTAATAGGAAGACATGTGGCGAGCACGATGTATCCCCTTCATCGCTTCTAGCATATTTGGCCTGCCTGAGCTTTTCTTTTTTCACGCAGCTTCTGCCCTCGACTGGGAATCGTACCCCAGATCGCATCGAGGAGAGCTAGCACGCGGCCTTGGGATAGAAATATATACTAGAACAATACCTCTACGAAATGAAGGTATTGCATCTCTTCCACGAGTAACCGCTAAACATGTTGATCCTGTGGGACATTTCCGCTTTCATTTTCTAAACCACTGAAACTACTAAACCAAAACCAAATTATAACGACGGACCAGTAAATTATGGATTAGGTGTAGGATCATTATTGTCAGAGGGTCACCAAGACAGAGGCAGGAGATAGAATAGAAATAAATTTTCAATCACTGCAGATCTTCTTTTAACGTCATCGATTCAGATAACTGAAGTGCCTCCAAGAGCGCATATATTTCTGCAGCATAAGCGCTGCACGACGAGTCTAGTCGAAGACTCCGCATAGCGCTGTGGCAGTAGAATGCACACCCTCTATTATCATTCTGGGTGGAACTGTCAGTGAATATGAAGGTATAGCCGGGATACAAGGATTTCGTCTCCTGGAATTCCGCCAGAAATGTACTGGGAGAGTTGAGGATTTGGGGAAGTGTGATAATCTCAGGTCTATTTTAGGCCGGAGAAGCATTCAAGGGGGGACAAGATTTCAGGGGGTTTCAAAGGAATGGGGAGTTTTGTATCGAGTTTCTGCAAGAGCGTGTAGAGACGGATTCACGGAGAATGGGGAAAAGATGGTCTGAGTTCGTACGATGTCCTGTGACTTGGGTGAAGTACTGCTTAGCGCGAAGGCGTATTTATGGCTGATACTTTCACACCGTAGGTGCCGATTACAATATCTCGCCTTCGGCTCAGGGAGGGCTCACCAGCCTCGGCCAAGAGGCATTCAGTGCGACGCAGGGGATAGGCGCTTGTGCTGATCCAGGCGTTGTGAGCGCGGCTCAATGATGCAACGTAATCTCCCCCCCCCCTCCCCGAAAAAATAACTAGCGGTGCGACAGAATGGCACGGACTTTCCCCTATTAGATTTCTATTTCCTTTGGTCTCAGCTAGCTATACAAACTTGCCACATACAGGGCAGGGATACAGGCATTCTGTAAAGCCAACTTGATGTTTTCCTTAATTTATGCTGAATATAAAAGGTTTATTTATTGACTTATAGTTAAGCCCATGAGCCCCCCACTATCTTGGGAATGCCATTATGATAAACAAGTCTCTTGATAGTGAATAAGTATAGGCTACCACAATAATTATAAAAAATAAATTTATGTCAATGGATTACCAATGGTTTTTTTCTTCTTAACAAAAGGACATTTCACAATTTAAAAAAAAAAAACTTAATCAATTTCAATTACATTAAAAATAATTCTATTGCTGCAGCTTGTTCGAGAAAGTCTTATTCTAAAAGATGGCCTCAAAAGCGTGGTTCTATCTCGCTCTGATCTCATGTTATTTGTATCAGGAGGAAATGGTTCTGTCATCTCTGTGAGATTCCCTTTGTCCCATGGAACAGATCATCATGAATATCATATGCATAACAGACCTGTGACAGCTGTAAGTATCCACAACAGCTGTAAGTTGCCACATGAGTAACTATGAAACTTGGTAATAAAAAAATAATTTTATTTCAGATGTGTATAAGTTATGATGATTTGTTACTAATAACTTGCTCTCAAGATGGCAGTATATGTTTATGGAAAGTTACAGCAACAGAAGGAAAAACAGTTAAACTTGACAAAGATTTTACATTTTCTACTAATATTCTTATACCAAAAGATGAATTGGCTGAAAAAATTGGCACAATTAAAGATCTCACAGTTAATATGGAAGAGCTGGTGACAGAACATGCCACTAAAATGAGTACTATTGAGGAGGAACAAGCAAATAAAATTCAAGAAATACATGAAGCATATGGCCAAGCAATTAAAGATCTCCAAGAGAAAATTGAAGTATGTTGCTAAATATAATACTTCTATTTAATTACCTTCACTTTGAACATGAAGTATGTTGTCAATACTATGTTGATGTATGTTATATGTATAGTTCTAAGAGATATATTTTACTAAACTAAGGAGGAATAACTCAAACTATCAAAAGAGCAGTTATAACAAATTATTTGAGATTAACCCTTTTCTCTCACTTGTATCTAACAGAAATTTAATAACAGAACATTGAACATAAAATTTACAGGCTATTTGAAATATATTCAAAAACATCACCACGATCAATATGATAATAAATTGAATCTTTCCATGGTAGTCCTCCTTGAAATATAGGTGTCTATATATATATATATATATATATATATATATATATAGACACACACACACACATATAAAGATTTTTGATAAATAATAATTCCCATTCTTGTAAAAATTGTTGTAATCAAAAAACATTACTGAAATTTCTTAATTTTAGCAAACCGGAAATGAGCATACAGTTGAAATTCAAACTGTTAATAATGATATAGCAATGCTGAAAGAGGAGCACGAAAACAATGTGGAAGGACTTGAAATTAATTTCAAAGCAAAATTAGTTGTCGAGTATGATAAATATGCAGCACTAGATGAAAAGACACATCAAACAAGACAAAAGTTCATGCAGTAAGTATGACAACTGAGCAATGGTATAATAAGTTGTGTTTCCAAAACAATGTCTGATATATCTATGAATGCAGACAATTAAATGATTTGGCTCAATCAAAAAAAAAATCTATTGAAGAGTTAACTTCAACATATGAAGCCCGGCTGCGAGAAAAGTTACTGCAAATTGAAGATGTAAGTATATTAAAATCTTCTATTACACCTGTATTATCATTTGAAAATATGTATCATCAAATGAAGTTAAATGTAAAAACTTTTGCAATACATATATAATTTCCCTTTCTTATATTAACCAATGTTTTAATTTTTCTTAGCTTCATCGTGATGCAGCTACTCTAGACAGAAATGATGAAGATGTTAACAGGCAAATTGAAGATGATGCAGATAGGGAAATAACTGAGATGAAAACACTTTATGAAGGAAAATTAAAAGAAGAAAGAGAAACAATAGTAAAGCTTCGAGCAGAAGCAGGTCAAATGAGAAAGAAATACATTGGGTTTGTTATTATTTTTTTAATGACACATAAGCTGAATAGACTGTAACGTAAGTTACAATAAATTATAATTCAAATAACATTCTATGTTTTTCAGGTCTCAAAAAGAAATTGAATATTACAAACAGCAAATTGCAAAACTTCATGGGCAACACCAGAAAGTCCTAAAGCTAATTGGTTCTCATGACAGAGCCATCTCTGATCTCAAAAGGGAAATGCAGGAGAGAGATGCAACAATCCCAGAAAAAGTAAGTAATATTACAATTCCCCAAATCAATAGCAAAAGGAAATGTGTGTCGACTTGCCTGCAAAACTTTTATCTGAGCCCACTTTATAAAAGTGGATAGCAAATACAAGTTGTGTTAGTACCTTAAATAATAAAAAAAAGCCTTTAATAAATTTGAATTCATCAGTCTATGATTAATAATAACCAATTGTGTGAAAATCTGCCTTTAGTATTTAATTTTATAAAATTATAACAGTTATAAAAACCAAATTTGTATACCTTGACTGATTGAGAAATAGGGTTACATATGCTACCAAAATAGGGGGAAAAATTGTTCTGGAAGATGATGTTTTTAATATTTTATAGTATCAACTATCCCAATGTATCAAGTAGTTAACATTTCTTACAATTGCAATACCCTTAGCCTAAAAATAGGTCCTCTTTTACCTGAACCCGCTCGCATTGTGGTCCCGAACATTACACCACTGCCCCAAATGAATTTTACTGTAATTTCTCACATTGCTATTACAAAATAAATTTTTCACATATTCATTTTGATTATCTATTTCAAAAGCAAATAATTGCACAAAACCAATCGATGTAACTTCAATTGCATCTCTATGGTATTAGCATAACGTACTCAACATCTACTTTTAATCAATGTTTCATACAGACATTTCCCTTGTGAAACACAAAAAATTGAACGTACCAAAGTATGTCTTTTACTCAATCTTGTCTTTAAATATAAAACTTAAATACAAACGAACCTGTTCTAATAAAATTAAATGAATCTTTTTGAACCGATATTGTGAAAAGATTAATTCTTGTATTATCTTCTTGACATTATATTCTCTTACAATTTCATTACTTTTAAATCACTTCCTAAATCTGAGATAAATTCCTTTCAGATAAAATTTACAAAATACCTTATAGTTACAATTTTGGATTAAGATATGCTCAATCTAAAGATCCTAATGCTTATCACATTTACTTCCTTACAATTGTCATACATGAAATATGACTTCTTGGCTGTCTGGGTGACACAGCATCGTTGGATGAGAGGCCAACATTGCGGCGTCACCCAGACAGCCAAGAAGTCATGAACTCGGGCCGCGGAAGCCTATGTGTACATACACGAAATATATCAAGAAAAATTATCTCCCATACTGTAAATAGGCACATTTCCACAAAATAGATATGTTAGAACTTCCAAGAAATTTTGCACCAGTGAAAGAGTAGGAAGTGCCCTGGAAGTGATGGAGCGAATATTGAGTTGATCAGATGTATCCCTTTCATTGAGAAAGGACGGCTTTTAGAACTATTGAACCAATGTTGGCATTTAAATACAATGCTGCAAGTTGCAGGAAGAATGTCACTGTATCAATTTTTAAAATAGGTAACTCAGAGAAATGTTCGAACAACACAGAAATTAAGTTTCCTTAATGAAACATTATAATATTTTCCAAACTAATAACTCAAAGACTTCAGAAAATACTGGACAATATCCTCCTTGAAGAGAAATCGGGTTTTACAACAAAAGTCTCAAAAGCACATAAAATATCACTTTTCTTCTGGAGAACCTATCCTATTACAAGAATATTCCTAATTGAATTATTGTGCTGATATGAGTTTTCCCTTTATCATATAACAATTTTTCACAAAGAAATATTTAAATTTGTTTTCTCCCTCCTCATTGAAGCTAGTAAATCTAAAATATTTGTTGAAAAACTCAATAGTTTGAAGTATCTGTTCATTAGAAACGTATTCTGGACCATTTATACAGTTGCTACCCAGACATTTAACAAAATTCAAGATTCTCTCCCTCAAAGAAATGTGGAATGAATTCCTCTTATCCATGTTTTCACCAAGCATACCATATTCCTTAACAGTTATTCATCACAAATGGAGAGTGTCAGATAGTAAGAGAGAATTAAGTATGTAGGTTACCGAGGAGTATATATTAGGTACAGAGGAAGATAATCTTAAGAAAGGATAAGAAGCTGAATAGGGCACAATTGTGTACTTTTAAGAGGAGATTTAAGCTTTGGTTGAAAAATGACAAAGATGAAAATTACATCTATTAGAGGATATCAGAGAATGAGGAGAAAGAGAGGATAGAAGGGAAAGGAGAATGGATAAGTTTAGAAAATGCTTGAACTTATGACCACAAGCTACTAGTCTCATAGATTTTTTTACAGCTAGACTTCTAAGTTTCACTTTTCTCTATATAAAAAACAAAAAACACATGTAACAATAGTTATAACATAACTGTAGAAAGTTGGGTTTTAAAACAACTGATTGAAGCGAGAATTCAAATTTATTATTACATACTATATTTGAGGAAACTTCAGTATGACTTGTCTGACAGAAAAGGCTTAGAGTAAATAGAATCAATTGATTATTATGATTTAACAAAATTTGGAGTTTCAGAGAATCACCAGAAACAAAGTTAAATTTATGTCTTCATCTAGGAATCCAGAATTTATGAATTGAAAAGAAAAAATCAAGAACTTGAAAAATACAGATTTGTTCTTAATTACAAAATTAAGGAGCTTCAGAATCAAATTAGACCAAAAGAGGAGGAAATTAAGGAGAAAAAGCAACAATTAGCTGAAGTAAGTGCATGTTGAAATCTTTGGCATTTAAATTAATTGAGAAAATATTACAAAATAATTTTCATTATAGATGGAAGAAGAACTAGAAGGGTTGCAGAAGATTAATGTTAGTCTGGAGTTACAGACCCAAGAACTTAAAGAGAAGCTCACAGCAACAAACAATGAATTGGATAAAGAACGGAATGAAAATAAAAAAAATAATTCCACCCTAAATCGTATGCGACTAGACATTCATAATGCTTATGGAATAATCAATGAACTGAAAAAATTGAAGTCAGCAATCAAGGTATATTCAATATGAATATTTGTAACAAAATATTTTATTATGCTTGCCTCCCATAAATTCAGTATTTCAAAAGGAATTTTTACATTAACATCAATACACACATCCATTCCATATACATTAAAACACATCACAACCTTCCTATGGAAGCATGTGTGAAGTTAAGAGTAAGAAATAGATCAATATGACATTTTATTTGTAATTCATTTATCCACTTTTTTTACCCTGCACGTAAATGATCAGTAGTAAGTTTCAAATTTGGTATGTGTAGGACCTATACCACAAATACAGTATGGACCCTGCCTATGTAAGTACCAGGAAAGTTGATGAAGACATTCAAGATGAATTCATGAGGCAGAGAGAGTTTCTTGAGCATACTATTAAAGTGCTCAGGAAACAAGTCAGTTTACAAACATTAGGTAGAACAAGTGAAGGGAAAATTATGGAGGTAAGACAAAAATGCAATTCAATACAAAACTCCTAGATTGTATGCAACCAAACTGAAGTTCCTATTAATGTGCTATTTTTGAGCTGGTGCATTTAGGGTAACAAACATTAATTTTTATTCCTTAGATAAACATTTTCTACTTCCAAAGTCTAGTGTAAAATAAACTTGCCGGCAACAAGACAGTTTGTCCCTGTAGTTACACAGTTAACACTAAATTAAACTGAATTTGTATTTTTTGTTTGGGATGTGTACCATAAAAAAACTATTTACAACCATCATTATTGTCACATATTAATGGTCAATACTGTAAGCATCAAAACAATGAATTTAGTGACTCATTCAATGTTCATTGAAACAATGCATAGATTATTCAATTGCCTGGAAAGAAAGTAATGTCATGCAAAATTGGCCCAATTTAAGTTTATTTAAAATTAGCAAAAGTGATACAAAAGAAATAATGAGAACTTCAAGAACCATTCACTAATAATAGAATGACACAAATCACACATTCAATGAACAAAAATTTCCAAGCAGTTACTGCTATAATGAGCACATTACATTTTGCAGTTGAAAGCAATGGTATGCTCTCTATTATTAATTGAATTTACTTTTCACATTTGATCAAAACCTCAAACCCAGGAACATGGTCATCTTTTGGGTACAAGGGCCTAGGTTTGATTTCCGTCCATGGCAGGAAAAATTCATTGCTTTCAGAATGCAGAATCAAGAGGTTTCTGTGGCTGGGGCAATTGAGAAGCTGCTGAGGAATTAATGGGACTTGTGCCATGAAATGGGTTTCTTATACAGTCAGTCGGCAGTTCAGTAGTGTTTTGGACTCTACCTGTGTGACGAATGCATTGATACCTCCACTACTTTAATACATCTCATTGATGCTATTCTTTAGTCTTGCATTAAGAAAGCAACCAATCATCATGCTGATGACTACATGGACATATTGTTATTGTTTGCAAATGTTAAAAAGCTAGCTTTCAAAAAAATGGAAAATAATTTACAATAAAACTTCAAACCAAAAGAAACTTGACAAAATAATATCTTTACTGAGAACTGCTCCTAGTTTCAACGAAAATCACATGATTACGATGTAGATTTTTCAAAAGTTTATCTACTTAGAAATAGTGTGCCAATTAGTGAAGTCAATTAATGATAAGTATACACAAGCCACTCAATTGAATAAATTAGTTTAACTTTTTAGTATTCTATGTAATAATTTTCTACTTTCTCTTAAAGCAAAATTTAAAAAACTGCTTCTTAAATAGCCAATCACCTGTTTTTAAGACTGATCCTACAGTTCTGGTAAAGAGGTACATTAAATTCCAATTCCATAAAATGGAAAATGGGACTTTGACATTTTCATTTTTAGCACATTTTTCTAATGTAGAAATTAAGCCATTACCTTAGAATTGTTAAACATATCTAACCCCTTCAAAGAAAAATCGACATAATTTAAACCTCCCTCTAATCAGGAGCATGCTGAACTAATTGAAGAAGTTAATCACTTACGTCGTGAACTTAAGTATGCACAACATCACATAAGAGACATGGAATCAGTCTTGGGTCCTGGTGCAAGATATATAAACCCCAAGCAAGCACAAGACAAATTAGAAGCAGCAATAAAAACTAGAGAAGCAATAAAGCAAGAATACGATGACAGAATGGAGGCAAGAAAACATCAAGTTGATCATTTATTTCATTACACAGTGCCTCTCTTACTTTTCATGTACGCTTTTCTTTATTACAGAAGTTAGAAGCAGTAAATGAACAATTAAAGCAAGAGGTAGATGGTTTAAGAGCACAGATAAAAGAAGAACAGATGAAACGAGTTCATGAAGAAAAACCAAAAGGAAAAGAGAAAAAAGTACTTCATCATCTGAGCTACTAAAATTTTATTAACATTCAAAATAATATAATATGAAACAAAATCTTATAATTTTTATTTACTACTTATCCATATAATAATTATACATTTTCATAACAAAGGCAACATTTCCTATGAACAGGACAATGTACATTAACAGAGGAGTTGATAAAGTAAAAAACTATAAAAATAAATAATTTTTAACACACTTGCACCCCACATCTACAATCTAAAGGCAATAATAAAAAAGCGAAATTACCTTCAGATGAACCAGTACATTTGATAGTGATTGGAAGTGCATTTGAACAGGATTTACTAACAATACTACTAATCAGATCAAAAATGGAAAATGAGCTAAGAAGTACTCGTGTACATTTCTTACATATACCACACATTATTTAATTTCTGATGTTAACGGTCTTTTCTACCTTCAAACATAACCAAACTGCCAACACATAAGATACATTAATCCAAAATATTCACAGTCTTGTTCTTTCCAACCCTCTATGCAACAATCACAATTTGTATTCCTAGAATCATCTGACATGGAATGCAATAATTTAAACACAACAGTTTAGAACTTGGAACAAACAATTTGTTCTACATTTGTCATGGTATATCTTATTGATCTATTTTCTCAAAAGACAACTATTTTATAAAACCTACACATTAACTTTAAAAAACCTAAAATATTTTACTATGCTTTAGACTTGTAGTAAGTTGAAATCATTCAAGTGTCTTTGACACAAAGAAAATAAAGTTTTTTCCAAGAAGCGTTTTCATAATGGCATTAGGAATTCTTAGTCATTTGATCAATTGGTAGTATTTCTTCCATTAGCAAACTCTCGCACACCTATTCAAAAATTCACCATTACCTATACCACACAGAATTGTTTGAAACTCACACCTGTGACTTTTATACTGGAGTTACTACCCAGTAATTACAAAAACACATCAGTACGTTTAGAAGTGATATGGTTTCACTTCCTCCTCCACCCTGAACCACAGCCTATTCCTTTCATATATTTTATAGAGTAAAGAGACAAGTATATAGAATATAAATGAGGAAAGTTGAACACATTTCTCCTGATGGTTTATCCCAGTAAAGTTTTAAAGAATGAATGGCAAAATGGCTTTACGTCCTCGAGGATAAGTTGGAAATTCTTTCTTGTATGCTTTGTGCTTTCCTAATGCCCACACAGCCATCTGATACAGTCCAGCTAAGGCAAAAAGGCCAGCTGAAAAAGGAAATTCAGTATTAAAAACATCACAGTTTGGAACATTACGAATCACAGTACATACAGAATGTGGCACCACAGCTCCACTATAAAATTAGGTACACTGTAGTATTGTGTACCTAAGTACAGGAATTGTTCATATGACACTCCATTGCAATTATACATTAAATTCATCATTCAAACATTGATTTAAGTTTCTGGCACTAATTGTAAACATTACCAAAATTACTTTCCAATTAATTTCTACCTTTCTAATGCTGAAGGTCTCATCCTTCTCTAGAGAAACTCCTATCAGTCAATAAATCATACTTTGAAAATTCACTACATAAAATTCAGAGATTTGGACACGTCAATTGAACTTCCCATTTTACCAATTGAATCATTCAAAATGTTAATTCACAATAGTACTGACATTTAACCCAGTGTGAGGTAGCACCATCATCTGGACCAATAAGATTGTTTCTTACTTGAGAAATGGGGCCAAGGTCTACTTGCAGTAGAAAATCTTAATATTTGATATTTGTAGCCTAGGACTATCACAAAAACAAAAGAAACATTCCCATCACTACTTATACTTACAAACTCAGGATGTTCATTAGTACATCAAGAACACTTAATTTCTCCCAAATTCCAATTATCAAAAGCCTTCTACACAATTATTTCCTATATATTTTTAAGTTTTAATTATACAGCCATTACTGCTGATAAGTTAATACATACTGTGCTGTGAAAAGTTTTCTATTCATATAATCCACCATCTAACTTGAACTAAGAGCTAATATTTATTTAGGAAGAGAGCTCACCAGCATAAATACAAACAAGCAAGCAATCACTAGAAGTGAACAACTCGCTCCACTTGACTAGACAATAAAATTGCCTAGCACCTCCGTGGATTCTCAAATGGCAGTTTAAAGAAACATCTCTTCACAAGTTATACTACCAGTTTAGCTGTTTACTTTTACCACACCCAGTATAGAATGCGGTCCTATGGTGGTATCTTTAGCAACTTGTGTATCATTACATTATTCAATAAAAAACCCTTTAAATAATGACAGTAAATCACAGCAAAATAAATACTTAAACCCATTAACTTACTTCATGAAAAATAATCATAGGTTAAGGATACCTTCTCCATTATAATTTTTACGAAAAGAGAAAAGCACCAGATACTAACATGATCCCCTGTAATTCCTCTGACCTGTGAAATTGCTTACCTTCGTACAACAGATTTCAGATTTTCTTAACAGTCATCTACTTATTACAAATTCCAAGGCACTAATTATTCTTTATTTACAAAAACAGATGAGGTTGTTGGCCTCAAACAGAAGTAAGATCTGTCAAATTACATGACATTTTCTTTCGTTACAAAGGGCAGGCTAGATCTATCAATTGATGCAATCCATTTGTGGAAGTTACTCTTAACAGACTTGGGACTGAGACATAGGCCTAATGCTCAGCTTTTTTGCTTTCCACAATATTAAATTAAATTTACAATCTTAAGCACATTTTTGAAAATTAAGTATATTAATTTTTAGTCTCAACCTTTCTCTAAGTGCATAAGCAATATATTCAATGATAATTTAACAAATCATCAGGATTTCAAATTAAGTTACGAGTATGCAAATTCTAAAAATGAGTTTCAATTCTTCATTTATATAGAAAAAATTATATGCCAGAAAAGTACAAAAATAAAGTTTCACGTAAACATGTTTATCATTTGTTATTCATTGTATTTTTATACTTTGGAAGTCATTTCAAGTGAAATTTGCTTTGAATCGGAATATTGCAATATAGTACCTGAGAACCCACAATGTTATATAACATATTAGCAAGATAAATATCGAACAATAAAAGCGTCATACTAGTGGACTATGATTTCATGAAATGCATTTAAATGCTTTCAAAGAACAGAATGACAGAATTACGTCATGGTCAAAACTAGCATATAACAGAATATCGATGCAATAGAAACATTCAAAGGTCCAAAAGTGTATGGGCAACACCTATTAATCCCAAGCTCCCAACTTACTGGAAGGTAGCCACATTTTTATTTCAATACATGTCTGAACTGCTTCTCTGCCAAAAGTACATTTTTAGGAACTGCGTATTAGAGTTCTATTCTTCACCTATTTAATTCATTATAAAACACTAGAATTACAGTAATAAAGAAGAATTGAAAATACTGAATAATAAATTATCAAAAATTACCTGGTAAACACTGTGTCATAACGGTGAATGCAAACCAGCTACCAAATTCGTAAGTATAATTTGGGCAAGATACAAAGTTAAATAGCTGTGTAAGAGGGTTTGACGTTGCAATAGGAATTTTCCGAACAGTTGTACCTGGAGGTCGAAGGTTGCGAAGGGCAATATGAATGCTCAAATTTCCCAGTTCACAAATCTACAACAGATGAAAATGCTACAATTTCAGTCATTAAACAAAAAAGTCACAATCGATAAAATTAAAGCAGAAAACTTACAATAAAAGCTGCTAATGCCCCATAAACTTGTAGGCAGCACGGTGCTGTATATAAAGGGTGATTAACATGATATGCCACATACGCAGTAAAACCCCAATAATAACTGCAGTTTTTAAATAGATTTCTTAATGGCATTGTCGAATGAGAGAAACGGTGCACAAAAATTGTTTCCAGAAGACGCTTTAGGTAATGAAGTGCCCAACATGCAGCTGCAATACTAAGAAACAAGAGACAGGCATTAACACAAACTTAAAAAAATATTTTTATGGTCCCACAATAAGTACTCACTGAACAACAGCTGGAGTAGGCACTGATGAAGCACCATCGCCATAGAAAAGCCATGGTCTTTGATATATCCATAAATACACAAATAATGGTCCAGCATATTCAGCCAAAAATACAGTCTTCCAACCAATTTGTGGGCCCAAATCTTTCACATACAACTTTGATCTATCCTTAAGTCCCAAATTCTGTAAGGTTTCCCCATCACCTAAAGTTTTACCCTTAGATTCCAAACGCAGCGCTTGTCTTTCAGGATATAAGCTCCGTTTTTTCTCATAGATTTGTTTCTTTAGATCCTTTACTGTGGTGTTGACGCTGAGCTAGAGAGGAAAAAATAATTTTAAAAGATGGAAAGTTATATAATAAATGCATCAATCGTGCAATACTCTGAATACTTACACCGGTCAACGTAACCACCGGTTTCGAGCTCTGGGCGTTCAAAATTTCGATCTGCAATCATGTAACATTTAAGAAAACAAGAAAAATTGGAGCAACCTACCACACAGTCTATACAAGAATGCATTACTTAAGTAAAATGTTAAGTAGTAATGTTCTTATCTATAAAGTACTTTCGGATTTACACTTTATCCGTCGTAACAGTTCAGTATAGTATCAGAGTAAAACTGCAATTCATTTTCACATTCGGTTCATTAAAATTCATTTTTGGCATATTTGTTCAGAAACACATGTTCCTGTATTTAACTACCACTACATTTGCAAGTTGTTATTATTGCTAATTGCATTCATTAAAACTGCTATCTTTAAATCCACAACATACTAAAACAATATAACCAAACAAAAGTCGTACTTACCTCCATCTTTCTGACTCAGGTAAATTATGACAAGAAGGCTGTATCAACAGATAGCAGCACTATTTCGTCGTTTCAAAGTAAATTGTGAGAAAGACCTTTCATTCAGTGCTTACCGACGCTCAAGGGAATATTCCGGAACGTTAATTGAAGGAGAAACCAAGTAAGAACAGTTTTCAGATGTTGGCTCTCCTGCTACTGGCCCGTTGCCAGCACTACAAGCTTCCGGAAGGTTCTAGAACCATCAGAACGTATATATGACCGGCGGACGCCGTGACGAAGTTCAGTCGGTTGACTTAACAGTCCGTTGCCGGAGTGTTGTGGAAGTGAAGGATAATTCTCTGTTATTGTTAAACGGTTCGTTTTGTTGGTGGTCTTCATTGTTTTGAAGGGAAAAAACCTATTTGTGCTGTGAGTATTTTTCTCTTGCATATTTGCATTTCTGGTAGATATTTGTTTGAATTGTATAAAAATTAAGTTGTGTTGAACATATGGTCCAAAATCTACTTATATTTGTCACCTTACGAACACGGGATATTGATTGTTGATTTGTATGTTTTTTTATAGGTGTCATTATGGGGAAGGATTATTATAAAATCTTGGGTATAGCGAAGGGAGCTTCGGACGACGAAATAAAGAAGGCGTATCGTAAACTTGCTTTGAAATATCATCCTGACAAGAACAAAGCACCTGGAGCCGAAGAAAAATTTAAAGAAGTTGCCGAAGCTTATGAAGTTCTTAGCGACAAAAAGAAACGAGATGTTTACGATCAGTACGGTGAAGAAGGTCTGAAGGGTGGTGTGCCTGGAGGAACTGATGGAGGTTCATCATTTACCTACGCATTTCATGGTGATCCTCGTGCCACATTCGCTCAGTTTTTTGGTTCCGCCAGCCCATTTCAAACATTCTTCGATTTGGGCGGCGGCGGTGGCCCCAGAATGTTTGGTTTCCATGACGATGATATGGAAATGGATGACCCATTTGTCAGTTTAGGAATGGGCAATGCAAGAAATGCTGGACCTGGAGGCGCTTTCAGATCTCATTCATTCAATTTCCATGGATCGCCGAATCGCAACAAAGATAAAATGCAAGACCCTCCAATAGAACATGATCTTTATGTTACTCTAGAAGATATCACTCGTGGTTGTACCAAGAAAATGAAAATTTCAAGGAGAGTTCTGCAGCCCGATGGTTCAGCAAGGAAAGAAGACAAAGTGCTGACAATAAATGTTAAACCTGGTTGGAAAGCTGGCACCAAAATTACCTTCCAAAAGGAGGGTGATCAGGGCCGAAATAAAATTCCTGCCGATATTGTCTTCATCATAAGGGATAAACCACATCCCCTTTTCAAGAGAGAAGGTAGCGATGTCAGATATGTTGCAAAAATTTCATTGAAGCAGGTATGATTAATTTCTGTCCTTATCTTTTCATGTGGTTGTACTGTTTTTGCGAGGATGGCATGTAGCAATAATTTTTATTCTTTATTTTTAGGCACTTTGTGGTACTGTCGTGGATGTTCCTACTCTTGGTGGTGACAAGATTCCCATCAACCTTACTAATGAAATCATTAAGCCAACAACGGTGAAAAGGATTCAGGGACATGGACTGCCTTTTCCCAAGGAACCCAGTAGGAAAGGAGATCTTATAGTTTCATTTGACATAAAGTTTCCGGATAGTATGTCACAGAGTGTAAAAGACATTTTATATGACACTCTGCCCAACTAGAAAAGACTGTACTCTGTGTTCATATGTAAAAAGTGTGTTTTGTGTGAACTCTGGAGTAATAGCATGTGCAAGAGTGAAAAGTGGAATCTCGATTTGTGTGTGTGTGGGTGTTAAAAGAATGAGGATCTTCAAGGGTGAAATCATCACTGCAGATGTTTAGTTTCATGATACTCTGTAAATAATCATTAATTAGCAGTCACTGTCATGGACTACACAAGTTTTTTATCTTGACGTAAAGCAGACTCAAAACTACAGCAATTGCTTTCATTTCACATATATATTTTGTACGTTTTAGTACAATGCTGATGTGCACTTGTTGCTGCAGCTGTAATATAAGTCATGAAATAAAAATTTGTACAAACTAGTTAACTTAACATATTGGCTTGTTTTTTTTCTGTTCCTACCCTTTTTTTCGTATGTGGTAGGGTATTGTAGTAGTGAATTTTTATAGCGCTTATTTCGAGGGACGATTCACAGCAAAACAAGTGGCTCTGTCGCCAGTGCGTCAAGATGGGAGGGGAATTTCTGTTTACAAGCAGTGCAGCGTCACCGAAATGGGCCAAGGCGAGTAGCTAATTATGGTAACGATAGGCACCGCAAATCTCCCAGCAAGTTAAAATAGATCAGCATGCTCAGTCTGCAACGAATGGAAGAGGGGGGGGGAGGGGCGGTGCGACGTAGCGCAGTCTTTCCAGAAGGAGGTAGACATCTCTCGCAAGTGCTTGCGTAACTGGGAGCAGCGATCTGGGTTACGGCGAAGAACTTGCCCTGCTCTAGGTAGTCAAAGGGAGGTAGTAACTTGCAAGGGGGTTATTTGAAATCGGTAAACCTATTGAATTTTTTCGACCGATTCTTCGTATTGATCCCTAGTATTGATTTTCTTATAATAAACTAGTTGCAAAATTCGTGATAACATTGTCATTTTGGTATTATACAACATCATTTTGTTTTTGTGCACGTTAATTGAAGGAACCTAGTCAGACCTCATTTTTATTTAAATCCAGGGACCTGGTGTAATAACGGTAATATGCAAATTTTCAACTGTTTAACGTTAAGTGTTGAACTGCCAATCGTGCACAAAGTAAATATTGTTTTCGTAAGTCATTTAAATGTTTCCTTACACAAGTTTTACTAGTGATGTAAGAAAACATGCTAACGGAAGTCCCGCCTGTCAGTTTCGCGTATGCCATTTAAATTAACGGTAAGCTAAGAAGTGATTCGAATAGCGGTCTTCTTCTGTAGTAGACCTTGAACAGAGTTCTTAACTACCTTAAAAAGAGGAATCGTCCAAGACTGCGGACCCCGATGAAAAGATTTGCAGTGAACTGGGAGGAGGAATTAATTTTCAGATTATCATAGAAAATCAACGTATTAAACTTTTGTTACGGAATATCAGTGCATGGGCAGGGGACAAATAAATGTAATTAATTGGGACTCCTCCAGTTCAATTTGTTTCGAAAATTACGGTAAACGTTTTTTGTTTTTTTTTTTCCCGATTCAACATTCTTATTTTTTAGGGATATTAATATGTAACATTACAATACATTTTCGGCAGGCAGGCAAAAGATCTTCAAGATAAGTAGAGTTAAGTAAAAAAATCCTTTAATTCGGTTTCCAGTTCAGAACAGTGGTGCTTAATTTAATTATTGTCATAAGCAAGGCCGATTAGTTTTCGTTACTCGTGATATTCGATGCTATGAATTGATAATAATCAGCAATATTTAGATGCTCTTCAAGTGATAATGCATTGTGTATTTCATTGCAATGGGAACTCGACGATAGGTAAAACAGATTACTGGACAGCGATGGATTTTAGGAAGGTGGCCATGCCCCACCTCAATACAAATTATATATATGTGATTTTATTACTTTTTTTTTTTTTTTTTTTCAAAAAAATGCACGTAATTTCAAGATATTCAGATTCTAAAATTGTAGCGAGTTTGTATGGCTCTGACAATAATACAGAACTTTGATTCAATTTATTTTCAGGACTTTAAGATTCACTGTCAAAATATCCACATCAGTTCCAAATAATTTATTGACAAGACATGGCCAATACTAAAGCTTGGATGTAACTTAACTGTTAGCCACAAGTGAATCATACAACAATGGATAGAATTTTCACGCACAGAATTCAATACATAAACAATCAAATAACACTAATAATCAGCAGCGTACTAATTTAAAATATTATTTCTTTATTAATAATCACTTTCTTTGCCTTTTAACTCAAAACAGTAAACACATGCGCTCCGTGGCTTGCATGTGAGCGGAAATTGGCGTCTCGTGTGGACAGGCAGCAAGAGAATTCGCTGACCCACGCACTTGCACAACACTCTATTAGTGTTCTATGTTCACTTCATACTAGCCTTTCCTCAGAATATGTTGCAAAGTAAGGTGGCGCCCAGCCGTCTCTACCCTGAAAGGTGTAAGCTGGTGCCAGCGTTGCCATTTCGTACCAGAATTTATACCTCTAAACCTAATTGTACCATCATTTTTTAAAATACTTCTAAAGAACTATTTATCAGCAAGATAATTTTGATTTTTTTAAAATGAATATGACGATAGGACAATAATTTTCACACCCTCCTTTGTCTTGAATTGTAGCAGCGCTCTGGAATACAGAGTTTCTCCAGAGGGCTCTTGATTGTAGATAATTTATCGCTCATGTCTCACACAAATGGTTGCCAGAAAAAGGAACCAACAACCCAAATTCTTTTCCATTCAGGATGATTTTGTGTGTCCATTTTTCGTTTTTTAGTTGATTCCCCACGAGATGGAACAATAGAAATCTTTAGTGGCGATGTGCGCGCCATATTTGAAGGTTTTTGAAATGACAAGCCATGTTTTCTGTGGGAATCATCAGAATGTTTTTCGTAATGATGAATTCGATCGAAGTGTATTTAGAAAATAAGTAATATTTAAAGCATGTTTAGATTAATTTAAAGAATATTAAGTTTACTTTTGCTTGTTCGCAGAAAAAATTAATTTCTGGTATTACCTTAATGTCACGATTCAAAAAAATTGAGTCGTACAATTTTGATCATTCGTCATTAAAATTTTAAGTTAAATCGATATCACTACGATAATGTACTTAACAATAATTTGAGACCAAACCGCGTTCTGTAAAATTCGATATGAAAATCAACAAATGTTTTAACGAATTTGTCGTAAGTATTTTGATACATTTTAATGAAATAATTATATCTTTACCAGTTCCTACAGAACGTCAATAATAAATATAGACTAAACTGGGCTGAAACTAACAGTCGATGTAAATATATATGTATTATGATATGTAAATATTAATGTAATTCGTTGCTTTCCTTTGATACTGACACAATATAAGTAGTAGCATTAAAGTGTTAAACCTTGAAGTGTTAAATTATCTGCTACTAAAAATAATTATCTACTGTATAATGTCCTAATCTATCTGTAGCATTATTGTAGTATAATTTCTAGGCCAATAACCCCATCTCGATCAGATTTTGTTCAATTTCCCTGGTCCCTTGAGCAAATGCTGACATGGCCCCTTGTTTGCTCCTGAACAGTAATGTAACTTCGCTCTCTCCACCCAAGACATATTGACTCGTCATACACGATTGTAATTGTATATGTGACTCAATAAATATTATTATTATTATTATTATTATTATTATTATTATTATTATTATTACTATTATTACTATTATCATCATCATCACCATCATCATCATCATTATTATCATTAATTCAAAAACTACCAGTTTTACAGGAGCGGCTTTTTAAAATTGTAACAAAAATAAAAAGCTCGTGGTTTCTTTCTGGTTTAGTGCAATTCGCTTAACTTTTGCCTTCGGTTAAAAAGCATGTTGATTAAGAGATTTGTAAGGACATACTTATAAGAAACATAACTTTCGACGCAAAAAGGATTTTTTTAGTTGTATCTGTATCAAAGCTAAGCAGCGAATTATACATTAGGCAAAAGAACTGCATCGTAAATTATCCCCCTTCTGCTTCCAATATTTTTGTCGCCCAACGAAATGAGAGTAATTTAATGGCGCGTACCTACAAATACTATGCCAAAAATCCCCACTCATTTACTTTTAAGCAAGAATCCGTTGCAACTTTTACTTTGTTTCGACATCCGAAAAAATGGCGGCCAATAGTGCAAAATGCTTCATACACGAGCGCTGTACTTGCACACAGTTCCTCTCTACACAACTGAAGCTCGTTGATTCGCTACGAGCCTTCTTTACGTTTTCAGGAGTTTCACTTCTCTTACATTTTTACATTGCACAACACTTACTAGAATGTCGAAACTGATTCATTGTTTTTTTCTTCTATTTTCCGCGATTTCTTCGATATCTAACGAATCCATAGACATTTTTCACGTGACTGAAGGCTGCATTGTTTTCCTTTTAATTTCTGCGCGCATTGAAAATTAGTAATGCAGATATTAGGTTGTGGCAGATATTAGGTTGTGGCAGATACGAGACGTGTTGTGTTATCATTGGTTTATTATCTTCATCAGTTATTTTCGTTACTGTTAGTTTGGGGTAGCGATCCTCAACTAACTTCGCCACGCTGATGGACCTCACCTCCACCCCACTGCCAAGAATGAGGCAACCAAGCGCCAGGTTTCAGAAGCATCGAAGATACATCCTGTCACGTCCTGTGCATGAGAGCCCAGACCGTTGGTAATCATTTTCAGATCAATGCCAACTGACTGTGTCGTGCATAATTTCTAGTTCAGCTTTCTCGATTCCGTTGAGACTGAGTGAAACTTGTACACGGATCATTGCTCCGAAATAATGTACTACAACATAGTTCTGATAGTGCAGTCGTTGGGAAGCTCTTATCTTGCCAAAAAAAGGTATTTTGCTTGTATTGGTATTAATAATAATAAAACAAATATTTCGACCTCGAGATACTTCGAAAAAGGTTTTAATAGCCAAGAACCCACGGAATTTTTCAAGATAAAAAACTGTAATATCTTTGGATTGGTTGGTCTTAGTGCAAAATGATTATGTATAATTTTAAAGATCATAACACTCTTTAAAAATTTGCTTTATATATTTTTTAAATCAAGTAGTAACGAGGAGCTACGAAGTTTTAAAATGTTACTAAATTTTCCTTTTTATTTTTGATTTCCTCCAAATTACTAATGGTCTCTCTAATGTAGTTTCTTTAGGGTCCGAAGATCTTCATTGAAAACTGAATAAATTCTAACATTTTTAATATTTACTGAGATCACGTTTTAAAGTTATGGACAGAGTGGTAGAATCTCTGTACTTTACTACCATGTAAGACGATTTACTTACATCAAAAGCATTTCAATCCAATAAAAGTTGTTGATTGTAATCTTCGTTATTATTATTATTGTTATTATTATTATTATTAT